ATAATAATAATAATAATAATAATAATATCTAATATACCATTTCAATGATAATTTCAATTATTACATGTATTTATTTCCAGTGATATTATCTCAGATGATGAAGCTAAATCTGAATAATTTGATTAATGAGTTCTCATAAGACATAAATTGGAAAAAAGTTAAACTGAGGAGATGGGATTAAAATATTATATTTTGAATTTGTATGTTATACATGGGATTCTTCTACCTATACTTGGCAAATATTTAAAAAAATCAGTGGCCTATGTAAAGGAGGGTGGGGTTGACCTGCAGGACCTTGCTTTTTATTATCATGCCTATTCATTGAGGTACATTAAATATTGGGATTGCACACCTAGATTTTCCACACTGACATTTTAGAATCTTCCTGTCTGGATTCTCTCTCTAAAGATGGCTTTCCTATGTGCTCCCTGTGGAGTAATGCACACTCCAAGTCCCGCGGTCCTCGAATCCTTTTGCATGCCCTTACTCGCGTGCAGTTTGAAGCAGACTATGGCTGATAACTTTGTTCTTTTATAAATAACAATCCGGCAGAGTTGAAAGAGGAGAAATGTCAGCCTACACAACGACGCGCGTTAAATTGCCTCGTGTTTGCTCCCAAGTCTGGGTGAGGAAGCGGCCTGTGAAACTACCCGGCTCTTGACGGCGCAGCGGCGCGTGCCGCGGAGCAGCGCGCGCGCGCGAGGGCCCGGAGCTGAGGGCGCCGCGCGGCCACCTGCCCCCACTGCGGCCAGGCCCTCGCCCGGCGCCTCCGCCGCCTTCCCAGCCAGCTCAGCACCTTCCCCCCAAGAGCGGGTTAAGCCCAGTGCCCACGTGACCCGCCGCGTCTGTCCAAGATGGCGGCGCCCAGGGGCAAGGTGGGCATGCTACGGCTGTTCCGGGGTAAGTGAGCTGTATCACGGGGGCGCCTGCGAAAGCATTGCCAAGCGCGTGGAGAGTGGAGGACTTGCAGGCTAGATTGCAAGAAGGGATGAAAGGGAGAAGAATTGCGCATCTCTCTCTCTTTCTCTCTCTCTCTCTCCCCCTGTCTCTCTCTCTCTCTCTCTCTCTCTCTCTCTCTCTCTCTCTCTCACACACACACACACACACACACACGTGTGCAAGGAACCTTTTGAGGGCAAAGCTCCACGGGGAGGAAAGTTACTTCTCATCTTGGGCGCCTTACATAATGATAACGTATATTTTGTTCCTTGCTATTTAGGAAGGGGATATTTGCTTTATTACATTCTGGTAAAAAAAAAAAAAGACTTCTTCGTCTCTTTTACTCATAGCAGTGCTATAGATTCAGAGTCCCAGGCTGGTATTCCTAATTTTTCTGCTGGGGTGGGAGGAGCGGGACTCCTTTGGGACATGGCACCAAAAGAAAGCGTCATGACCAATATCGTGTTCTGCAGAGTATGAAAGCTGTGTTTTAAATCTGGCAACTATATTCCTCGAAGCTTATCTGTTTTACGAATTTTACTCATTTCACGAAATTAGTTTTTGTAGTTTAAACATATTTTTTCTATCTTGATATGTGAATTGAACAAATGAGGCCACCTTATTCTAAATTAGGTAATTGCTTCATCTAAGCTAGTACTTGGCAGTAGTTTTCCAAGGTTAATTTGAGCCCTGGCAGATGTCAGGTTAGCATCTGCTACTTTGTGCATGCAAAACTTTGCCAGTTGGTGGCAAAAACTTTGCCAGTTGGTGGCTAGTACAGGTGTAGTACCTTATTGGTATACTTGGTTCAACCTCGATTAAAGCTTGTGAAGGGTACAAAATAACTTTGTATTAGTTGTTTATCTAATTATTGCTTGAAGTGGGCAGCTCCTAGTATGATTTATAATTAGAAGCTGACAAAATCTAACCCACCATTTTCAGCGTAATGAACTGATCTAGTGCAGTTAAAGTGTGTCTCATGATTGATATTACATGAAATAATAAGTCTTTAAAATAAACAAATTTTGGAAGAACATCATCTTTGTTAGCTCAGTCATCAGCAATTAGGAAAGTCTGAGGATGGCCTTTGGTGGAACTCTGGAAAGATTATGTTCATTAAGGGAGTAGTTCCTACAACCTTGCACTTACTTTAGTTGGAGTGACTAGCTGTGCTATATAGGATGTTGTGCTGGGGCGGAGGAGTAAACATATGTAGTGCTGTGCCTTAAGATGATTATTTGGAAAAGGAACTTGAGCAATTGTGAGGACTGTACTGACAGAATCATGTAAAATTTAATTTTAAGAAATGCATTGTAGAGGTTAATATTTACATCTACAATGCAGAAATACTTAAAAGCACCTAAAAATTCAAAAACATGTGGTTATTTTTAGAAGTTTCTGAGCAAACTGAGAGGTACTATTCATAATTCTTATTGGAATGTTTGACGTGAGTGCTGATTGTTAAGGAATGTTAAAAACTGTTTGGCTGCCATATATTTTACCATATTTAAAATAGTACAGTCCTAATCCATGCAAAGTTAGTCCTGCATTCTGTTGAAATCAGCAAGCCATAAGTTACTACATAGTCCTGTTTATTTGGAAGTAGGTGATATTCATTAAAGGGAGTTTACATGGGGTTGCAGCTAACACATCTGAAGCACTCTACTAGACTTGCTAACCTTTTGTTGGCTGGGGCCCATGTTTCAGGAACAATCTGGAAGCCAGATGAGACCTTTGCATGACTTACATTTTTCTCTTTAAAAAAGAGACAAGCATAACACGAGGACAATACAGATGTTGTCTGTCTAAAGCTCTGTCATAGTTTCTCTCCATTGACACGATTGATTATGCCATTGTAGTAGATTGTAAATGCTCTAATTATGCATTGGAATCATTCTCAAGTATTAACAATCATTGCATCAGAGTGATACTCCCATTTCTAATAACAAAAATCAGGATAATACCCTTTGAAACCCTTCTTAAAGGGGCACAAGAGACTGCAGTATCCTTATGCACGCTGATTTACTGATTTTGAAAAGCTAAATCATTACGAAGCAGACACTCTTTGCATCTTGTAAGTGGCTCTCAATGTTCAGAAATATTCGGTTCCAGGATAAATGCTTGATTTTATGTTTGAAATCCAAAAACAAATAAGAAAAAATTACAGTGTTCTTATTTGTGACTTCTTGAACACGAAGGATCAGGATGTTGACCTATAAGGAAATAATCATGTTTACAAGAAGTCACTTATTTAATAGATCACTTCTTGCTTGTGTGCTCATCCTAGTGCAGCGCGCTTTCTTTGACTGCCCAACAAGCATTAAAATGTTGCTTAACTTCACACTTGCTGCAGATGATAAGCATTCAGTATCCATTCCCAGCTTATGTATTAATTTATTATACATACAGTTTGTGCGGTACTTTACAATATTAAAATCAAGGGTGATCCGTATTCTAAGTGCTGCTGCTTGTACTCCAGTTTTTGTCTGCCTCATTATTATTATGTCTATAATTTCCCACTAGGCAAGTAAAGGACAGATACTCTTGTGGTAAGAGGGAACTGGTGAAGCTGCAGTCCTAATGCAGTAGCTGTAATCCCTGAACCCCTGAACTCAGCAGCTGGTGTTCATCCAGTGTAGAGCGAGAGGAGCAGTACAGGTCATCTTTACCTTCTCATTCCACCCATTCTTCATTTTCACTAGATTTGGAAAGCTTGAGTGTTTCTGAGGAGGAAGGAAAGAGCTGGAGTGGCTTCAGGAAACCTCCTATTCTGGCTGTTCCAGTTTCATTCCACCTTCTTGCCCTTTTTTGCCCTTCTCCAAGAACCTTTTCCTGATCTTAGAGAGCAGCTATTTTTCTGTGCCAGCTGTGAGGGGAAAGAGTTGTGGAACGGTTGGAGCACAGTCTCTGATCTTGGATCTGGGAATCTGAAAACTCCTGGGATCCCTGAGACAGCATAGAGGCAGCATACTTATGTATGCCTGTTGTTGAGAATCATGAAAGGGGATGTCCTATTGTGTTGATGCCCTGTTGTGGTTTTCTCACAACCCACTGGTTGGCTACTGTGTGACCAGAAAGCTCGACTAAGTGAGTTCTTGGTCTGATCTAGCAGGGCATTTATGCTCTTACGGCAGTTCTCATGTATGTAAGAAGTGGGACCCTTCAAGGATCTGTGTTTGCACTGGAAGTCTTTAACATTCATAAATAATTGGGAATGAAGCACAATGGATGGGTACAAGGGGAGGATTTTTGAAAATTCATGCACCTCCTTGTTCTCTGGACACTGATTGGATTCTATACTGTGGTCAAATTCACTTGGACTTTGCTGCATCTCAAACAGAATGTTGTAGAGCTGGAAAAGGTACAGAAAATGGCAACCAAAATGATCAAGGTGCTGTAGCCACTCCCCTGAGGAAAGGTTGCAATATTTGTGTGGGGGCTGCTTGGGAAAAAGATTAAGTGGGGAGTCATTGCAGCAATCTAACAGAAGGGGTTAACAGCATAGATTAAGCCAGGTTATTATTTTAGGATTCAGAAGAAGATAGAACTATTTGTATTTAATGTAACCATCAAAAATAGGGATTTGCCTTCGAGGACTTCAGGTACCATCAGTGCATACGATTTTGTCCAAAGGCTGAAACATTTTGCTTTCAAATGTGCTATTAAATAAAAGCAATTAGACAAAAGGACAGTCAGAGGGACTAGTAACATCACAGAATGCCCTCTGTAAAGGCAACATTTACGTTCTAAGGCATTTTTTAAAACAACTTCTATCCTAACAGGTTCTAGAACAGTACACAGGAGGTAGGAAAACTCAACTGCCACAAATAGCACAGCACCATATCCTTCCCCAACTTGGTGCCCGTCAACTCCTTTCAGCCCCAGACTGTATGACCAGTGATTAGAAATTCTACCATTTCAGACCATGAGTTCTGTCAGGGCCCTGCACTGGATTGGGTTGCAGGTTTTGCGATGTATCAGATTTTCAGCAGGCATTGCGTCAGATCCCTCAGGGAAGCAAGATGGAACAGATCAGCACAACAACAATCTGAGTGCTGCTGGAACTAGAAGCCAGACAGAGTTGTCTCTATGTTGCCCCAACGAGGAGCAGAGCTAGTCTGAGGTTCAAATAGGAGTGCTGAATTGAGCTTGACTGACCTCCACACTGTCTGAGGCTTTGTCTCTTGAAGGGACCTGGCCTGCTTTAACAATCTCAGTGATGAGGTGGGAGTTTCATCATGGCCTGAGTCATCCTCAGAGTCTGAGGAAGATAGTGTGATCTCCTTTGACCAAGGCAGAGCCAGTCTTGCCCTGGCTTGCTTTCTAGAGAATTGGGTCCCAGGGACATGGAAGCCTCATAATGCACTTCTCTTCTGTGAACTAGAAACTCTGGAGTCTCTTCTGAGGATAAGGGATCAGAATTCTCTGGGGAAGAGCGTTCAGGTAATGCTAGGAGTTGCAGTTCAAAACATCTGGAGAGCATCTAGCTTGGGAAGACCATGATAGTATCACTACAATGCAAATAAGCAAGAGTTTTGAAGCACTAGCATTACTGATTTCAGTAGTTTCCTTTCAAGGAGCTTTGCTTTCATTGACTTAGACATCACTCCTAAATGTATTTACTTAAGTGAAGCTATTGAGGATTACAGACTTAATACTGATTGCAATCAATTTAGGATGAGCAGTGTGTCTGTTTCCTCACCTCTCTTTTCCAAGGTAGTAGTACTATCCATTTCCATATTGCAGCAAAATTATGCCATTTTGAAGAGAGCAAATTTATCCTGAAAAAGTCTGGATAAAAATCCTGCAAATCAGATGCTATTGTTTCATGCAGATGCAAATGTATGTATATATAGCGTGATGGGCTGCAACCATATACACAGGAGTAAGCCCCACTACATTCAGCTTAATTCTGTGTAGACATGTTTAGGATCGTGCTGTCAGTTTTGATATGTTTTAAC